GGCCGCGCGCTGCTGCTGCTGCCCGCGGGCCAGGTGGGTCGCCTGGGGCCGGAGGGTGGCGACGCGGCCGGGCCGAGGCCCCCCAGCGCCCTGGGCCCCGATCCTTTGGTTCCGGGTCGCTGGGTTCCCGCCGAATTCCTCCGGCTGCAGGTCCAAGTTTCCGTCGTGGCAGCTCGGCTCTTGCTCAGAGGTCCCCAGGGTTTCCCAGTTGGCACGGACTTGAATCCTAGCAGAAATACTAAATTGCATTTACTAGTCGCGCGGTTCTCTCTTAAGTATATTGGGTGTTGTAGGTATTCAGATTTCAGCACTCATATCTCTCTGGAGTAATTGCCGCCGATTCTAGGTTTTTCGGGCTGAAGAAATAATTTAGGTGACCTGCCCTCGATCACACCTGGGCCAGCTGTGGGCTGGGAGAGTCTCCCTTGCATGCTGGTGGGGGAGTGAAAACCCGGAAGTGGACAGTTTGTGAAGAGGGCATGGTAGGGTTAGTCTGGGGGACAGCAGAGCCGCGTTGCTTCGTGGGATCATCTGGGATTAAAAAATGTGATAATCACGTACTGCAGTGCAGTGTTACTGACAAATCCGCTGTCCTTTGACGTGTGTATAGCAAGTTATGGTCTTAGAATTTAGTCTTTTTTTTTTTTTTTTTTTGGCGGAACCGGGGATTGAACTCAGGCCCTTGTGCTTGCCGGGGAAGCACTTATTCCACTGAGCCATCTCCCCGGCTCCAGAATTTAGTCTTTAGTGACAGATTCTCTAACATTACTTTGTTCTTCCCCTGTTAGGGTTTTACTTTCAGCGGGGTCTGTCGAATGACCTGCCTCTATGGCCAGGTGGAGGTGTTGGGTTTTGTCATCAATCAAGGCCAGCTTGCCCAGGACATCTTCTCTGCCTACACCCACTCTTATCTGACCATCAATGCAGTCCATTACTCCATGCCCGAGAAGAGCAAGAAGGACGTGAAGAGGGAAGCCCGGGCTTTGCTCAGAGCGCATCTTAACCTGGGTAATGAGGGCTGGGGAAATGGGTGAGGGCCTTCTGTAGTGAGGCCAGACACTTTAAGTGCTAACAGTGGTCTGGACAGTATGTTGGTGCTCACGAGCGTCCTGAGAATTGAAGCACCGTTGCTTTGATTATTTTTGCATTTTGTAAAAAGGCCACGATTGACTACATGGACTGATCTCCACTCCTGTTTTCTGCTCTTCGATACAGTGTCCTGAAAAAGATGAGGGTTTAGCAGAGGACGTGGCAGCCGTAAAGTGGGTAGAGGTTAGCAGCAGTTACCACTTCTCTGGTGTTTTGTTCCTGGTTGCAGAGGACAGATCTTGGGCGATGAAGAATTTTTCTCCTCTGTGTTCCCTTGTGCTGCTGGAACGCCTGAAGAGCACCACCGTTGACTACATAACCAGCCACCCGGGGTCATCCGCCATCTTCGAGCAAGAGGTAGGACTAGTTTTTCTGCCCAGTTTCACCAGTTACTTGTGCCAAAGCAGGCATATCCGACAGGCATGGGGATGCACTCTGGGAGGTCAGTCTGCCCTGTTGGCATGGTAGGCCTGACGGAGGGTCACCCACGTCGGCATGTAGGAAGACATAGTTGGTGTAGAAAGGCAAATTAGAAAAGTGGCTCTCCTCCTCTTCCTCGGCTTAGTCCCCAGCTAGAGCCAGCATTCATGTGGTAGGTGGCGTTTTTTCTTTTCTTTTTTTTTTTTTTTTGCAGAACCGGGGATTGAACTCAGGCCCTTGCACTTGCCAGCTCAGGCCCTTGCGCTTGCCAGGGAAGCGCATATTCCACTGAGCCATCTCCCTGGCCCATGGCTTTTTTCTTATTTATTTGAGACAGGGTCTCACTGCATAGTTTAAGCTGGCCTTGAACTCACTTTGTAGCCCAGGCTGGCCTCCTGAGTGCTAGGATTGCAGGTTTGTGCCACCATGCTCAGCTGGTAGTTGGTTTCTTTCTTTCCTTTTTTATTTCTTAATCTTTATTTATTTATTTGGTACAGGGTCTCACTGTGCAGCTCAGACACATAGTGATCCTGTTTCAACTTCCCCAGCACTGGGATCATGGGCGTGTGCTACCATGCCAGGTTTCAGTAGCCAGCATGGCATTCCGGGGCCAGTGCAGCATGCAGTACTGGGGACTGAACCTGGGTCCTTTTGCCTCCGAGACTTTCACTTATCTATCTCCCCAGCTTGGTAGTTGGTTTAATTTAATTAATTAATTAATTTTTTGTATTTTAGGGAAGGATCTACAGGGCATGCAGGGTCTCACTACTAAATCAGATTTGTTGTGATTTACCTGTTTACAGCCTCGCAAGAGCTGGGATTATAGGCATGTGCCACCATTGTTTTGTTTCGGTTATTAGTGTTAGGGATTAAATTTGGGGTCTTCACACTGAGCTATAGCCTAGTCTTTTTTTCTTTCTTTCTTTTTTTTTTTTTTTTTTTCTGATTTTGAGACAGTGTCTTGTTGAGTTGCCAGGCTATGCAGAAATTTGCAGCTCTGCTGCCTCAGCCTCCCAGCATGCTGGGGTTAATAGCATGTATGCTCCTGGCTTTGTATGGTAGCTGCTTGGTGACTAGACTCAGGGCCTTGCGCTTGCCAGGCAGGCACTTATGCCACTGAGCTGTCTCCCCAGCCTGCTATTCTTTTTCCCGTCTAAACTGTCAGTGAATAATTGAAATGTGCTTGCACTGCATCCCTCATTCCTCACCCCCACCTTAGCTGGCTCTGTGTTGTTAGTTTTCTTTTTCTGTTTTTGCGTAACCAGGGATTGAACTCAGGTCCTTGGGCTTATTGCACTGAGCCATCTCCCCGGCCTCATGTTAGTTTTGTGAAGTCAGGTTCCATAGCTGTAACTGTCTCCTGTGAGACATTAGGTTGACACCTCAGGATTAGTGGTTGGCTGGATGTGAGGCAAGGGGAAGAACCCAGGAGCCTGGGGTGCAGTGCGTGGAGAATAGGCTCACTATGAGGGAAACCTGGGCTCACGCCCAGCACAAAAGCACAATGAGTCATAGAGTAGTACCAGGCTATTGCCTTACCCATTCGGGTACCTGCAGTGAACCTTCACTGAGCCAAGCCTCAGTCTGGGAAGAGACAGCTGGAGCTGTTCACCGGGGAGCCTGCAGAGGTGGTGCTGGCACGGATGGAGGCAGTAGAGGTGGCAAGGAGAGGCACGAGGATCGGCCCGCTGGGCAAAGGGAGGTGGCAGAGAAGCCTGAGGAGCAGCAGCATCAGGGTTAGAGAGGCCTGGGGTGAAAGGGCTTCTGGGGAGACAGGTGCTGTTCATGGGAAGAGGGGGCCTGAGAAGGGAGCCCTGGAGAATGGGAGCTGCTGGCTGGTCTGCAGTGGCTCGGTGGGCTGCCGAGGGACAGCTCGAGGGAAGAGAAAGGAGCTCACGGGTCAGTAGCAACTCATCCTCTACGAGGGGAGAGAGCCAGAGCGGTGGTTGGGGCAGGTGGGACTGTGGACGTTCTGCTCAGATGGGGTTAAAGGCACTGGCCTGGCTCAGAGCAGTCCACACTGATCCCGGGGAGGGGGAGAAGCACCTAGAGAGAAGAGGATGCTGAGGCTGTCACTGGGAGTTGGTTCCTGGCCAGAGAAGGTGGCGACAAAGTCTCTTCCAGCATTTCCTGGGACACAGGAAATGGAACTGGAACCATGACCCAGCAGGAGCAGGTCGTGGGTGGGCTTTTTTTTTTTTTTTTTT